GTGTGCGGGGAAATGGAAGCGCTATTGTGCGTAGGTGTGGGTGTCACATCCATTGCCTGCTCCTGCTGCTGCTGCACTAGGGGGCCGTCCCGTCTCTCCTCCCCTCAAGTCCTCCGATTGCTACAAGCGGCATCGCGAGGCGGCGTTGGAGAGGAGGAGGATGAGGCAGTATTACTTCCGAGAGGTGGGCGTTTCTTGACATGTGGGGAGGGGACTGGTCTTGAACATCAAGTTGAGTTGCCATAGGGTGCAGCGATTTGGCAGAGCACTACGTGCAGGTCAGGCATGCTGAATGGTCGATGCTGAAATGGGAGCAGCGCCAGGCCTTTGCTTCTTGCATAGCAAGCAAGCCGAGCATGTTTTGCACACAGCAACCCATGCATGTCTGCCCAATCTCTCCGCCCTTGCGTCTGTACTTCTGCCCCAAAGCTTCATCCTCGTCCCTTCTGCCATGGCCAAACCCTCGCTCATGGCTAAAACCTTCTGATGTAGCTCAATTGTGGCCTGTTGGTCAAACCCTCTCTCTGTGACTGCCTCCCTCCGTCCCCCTTCTAGGGTCACAAGTATCGGAAGGAGTATCACGAGGTTCCCCTTCCGTTGTGCCTTATCTGTGGCTTCTTGGTCAAACCTTTCCTCCCTCCCTCCGTCCTCCATCCAGGGACACGAGTATCGAGAGGAGTATCACGAGCTCATGCAGGCAGCAGGGCAACGTATATTCAGGGAGAAGTAAGCAAGCACCCTTGCTGCTCCTGCCCACATTTATCAGCTTTCGTCTTGGTGCTTTGTGCTTTTGCTTCCCCCGTAGCTGATGACGCTAGCTTGCTCCGATCTCCCAAGTGTAACCATGAGGTTGATTTTCACCGCATTTGCTTTGGGTGCCTGTGCATGTGCGTGTGCGTGCCCATGCCCATGCCTGTGCCGGTCCCTGTGCCTGCACATGCCTGTCCTTGTGCGTGCCCATGCCCATGCCTGTGCCGGTCCCTGTGCCTGCACATGCCTGTCCTTGTGCGTGCCCATGCCTGTGCTGTGCACGGTGCGCGCAGCAACGAGCGCCGGGGCAACAGCATGGACGAGGCACTGCACCACCTGCAATCGTCTTTGCACACTTCTTTCTCTGCCTTTGCGTGCCTCTACCCGTGCCTGTGCGTGCGCAGCAACGAGCGGCTGGGAAACAACATGGATGTGGATCTGCACCACCTGCATGTGGACGAGGCATTGTACCACCTGCACCTGCACCTCACTCTCCTGCAAACCCTCCCCAGTCAGTCCCCCCGCTCCCCGCTTGCCCATCCTTATGTGCGTCTAGAGTCAACTCAAATGACACCTTCCTAGTCAGTCCCCTCCCTGCTTGCATCGTCCCACGCTCCTCTTCCCTCCTCGTTTTCATCACATCTCATCTGCCACTCGCACTACCCAGTGCCACTCTCCTCTTGCCTTTCCTCATCACCTTTCCTCGTCATAACACTCTGCGGCGTACCGACAACCCGCAGCACCCCTCTCCACCCCTCCGTCTCTCCGGTCTCTCTGCATCTGCTCTTCACGCTTCTCTCTGGTCCTTTCCCTTCCCAAGCTCCTTCACGCTGTGCCAGGAACCTTTTCCCAGAGACTTGGTGTGTGGGGGGTTGGTGCTTGATGCTGGTGACTGTGACTCGGTGGGTGCTTGTCTGGGGTGTGTGTGTGTGAGGTGTGTGCATGCATGGGTGCTGGGGTGCTGTATGAATGCTCTGCTGCATGCATGGTGTCTTGCTGCTGTGAGCAGCTCTGAGCAGCATGACGGTCATCACTGGTAGAGGCAAGCACACCACTTTTGGGCAAGCCAAAATCAAACCGGCGGTAAGGTTGGGGGAAGGGAGAAGGGACGGAGGGGGCGGCGGAGAGTGGGAGGGGTTCACTGCACCAAATTATCCCCAGTCTGGAAAGGGATGGGTAGAGTTCTGGCTGTGAGGCTCTTGCTTTTGGGTTAGATGTGATGTCTCTGATGCGACAGCGTATAACGCACATAGAGCTCTGCTGCACGTGCGTATGACGCACATAGAGCTCTCAATTTGAAGCCTTCACCATCCCACTGCTGGCACTGCTCGTGCATGCCTCTCAGGTGCACCGGTACTTGCAGGAGAGAGGAGTGGGGTGGCAAGAGCAGAACGCAGGCAGCATCCGCATCACCCGCTACAATCTACCCCCAGATCCTATCCGTAGATGACCACTTGAGTCCATGCCCAGCTGTGTGGCGGTTCCTGAGGTGCCTCATCATACCGTAACAGGCAGCATCCGCAAATAACCTGCCTCCCGATCCAATTCAGTAGACGATCACTTGAGTCAGTCCATCCAGATTCCCCAGCAGCCCATGCTCACCAGGGCCCTAGATATCAGACTTTGTAGTATGATTCAGAGTCCGTTCAGACTTTTTTTTTGTACCTAGTCTGAAGTCTAAGAATATCTTTATGTACCTTGTCTGATTTTTCAGAGTTTTGCTTTATGAGTTGTCTGAAATTTCAGCCTAATTTTATTAGTGTAGGCTGAGCCTCATACTTGTATCGGGGGTGCCCCCTGAAACCCGTAATACAGCGGTTTCCGCCAGCCTGGTGGCGTGTAGCACTCACCATCAATCACGGGCGGGAAACCAAAATTTCCCGAGCGCGGCACCGCAAACTCCCGAGCAGGGTCCTCGCTAGGTTTTGAACCCCCCTGATGCGTCAGATGGGCCCATCGGGCACACGCTTGCCCTGTCACACCACTTTTGCCCTCTATCACACTGAAGAGTCAACCTGTCAGGGCAAAAATCCGCCCTGTCAAGGAAGAGATTCGGGACAACTTCATCTGCAATCTAATTAAGCCAGCGCGGTTCGCAAATGCGATCCCTAACAGTCCGCCTGGAAGAAGCTGATGAGTCGTAATCTGCCCGCGGTCAGAAAAAAATAAACCCCTAATGGGTGGCATGCGATTAGGGGAGCCCCAACCCTAAACACGGGGAGCCCCAACCCTAAACACGGGCAGCCGCGTCGTTCTGCCCGAAAAGATTGCATTTGCAAACCCGCACTGGGAAAATGAGATCGCAGTTCGAATTGTCCGAAGAGATTCGCCCTGCCTAGGGTGAAGTGCGAAGGTTCGCCCTGTACAGAGCGAAGAGATTCGCCCTGTACAGAGCGAAGTGCGAAAATTCGCCCTGTCAGGGTGAAGATTCTGTCAGGGCGAAGATTCGCCCTGCCTAGGCAGAGATTTGCCTTGTCAGGGTAGAGATTCGCCTTGTCAGAGTAGAGATTCGCCTTGTCAGAGCTGTAAATCTCGTTATTCTATGTTTCAGTTTAAGACAAAACAGAAATTGTGTTTAACTCTGAACGTTCAGCGTAAAAAACGTAGTGTTGTCTGAATTTTCAGACTAGAAAAAATAGGTAACTCTGACAGCCAGACTAGGAAGAGGGGTGTACTCTGAGGCGTCAGACTACCTCAAAACGAATCTAGGGGCCTGATGCTCACCCGGACAGGAGAGGATCGACTCAATCCAATCAAAACCATCGGCACTACCCGCTACAGCTTTGCCTCAAGATCGGTCCCTAGATGATCACCTCAGCAGGTCCATGCACATTGCATCGTGGTTGATTCTGGATGGCAGGTATAGCTTGGGTGGATGGTTGGAGTCACTGACTGCATTGCACGGCTGCAGATTTGCTGGCGACAGGAAGACTTGTTACCTACATGGGTGCTATGCTATCAGCAATGAGGTAGAGTGGGCCGGTTAGGATTTGCACATGGCACGATGAAGATTGTGCAACCACGTGGGCTTGTGTGAGGGGCCTTTGACATGCCTGTACCACCGTAGCTGGTCTAATTACTCGCAGATTCATCCACCCACACAACTGGTCGGCCCTCTGCCCAAGCTTGTGACTTCTATTGCATAATATACAGATGCATGTTGAACGTACATCTTCACTAAAAAAGGTTTGAAAGTGTGTACAGAATTGTATAGCAGGCCAGTAGCACCGAAATGTATATTTGTCAAAACACTGGTAGGTAGGTACAAACAGGCTATATACCGTTGTATATCAGAATCTAGTGGGCCTGCTGCTGGCCAATCAAATGCAGCCACGCGTAAGACCAGGAACCCAGAGAGTAGTTTCTGTAGCTGCCAAGCCAACCAGTCACGCCACATGCAGAACCGTGAAAGGCCAGGCAGGTGAGAAGTCAAATTAATATGCGGCACACACAAGCAGCCACACTCACAGAAAATGGCATGACAAAGTTACAGCATCATGTAAACTGGTGCTTTCCTGGATCTCATTGTTCGCCAGGGAGGGATACGGTATGTGTGCACAGCCCGCACAGCGTGTCACTCTCTCGGGAAAGGCGGGGCTTCCATGGGGATGGCACCAGCGGACGAGGCGGCGGGGGGTACAGGAGGCATCGGCGCACCGGCAGAGGAGCCAAGGAAGGCCCCTCGGGGAGGTTCGGCTGCCGGTGACAGGGTCGATAGAGGTGGCGCTGCTGCGTGCGTTGACTGCCCGACTGAGAGATGGAGACAGCGAGCGAGTGAGAGAGAGAAAGAGAGAGCTGATAATGCCCGCTTGCAACCTGGTGGCGCACGGAGTGGCAGAGGAGGGAGAAAAGGAGGGGGAGGGCGAGTGGAAGGAAGGGAGAGGGTGCAGAAGGGAGAGGGGGATGGGAAAGGGGACGTGGAGCGGGAGGGGAAGAAAGGATGAAGAACAGACCTTCCTTCTCTCATCATCCACCATCAACTGACAATCAATGCGAATAGAAACCACAAAAATGCAATCCACACGATGCGATCCCCCTTTTCAGAATTTGCAGTGCTTGCATTGGCAAGAGTCATGCCGCACTCTGCCTTCCACACCCCCCTCTCGCACGCGCCACTAAGCACACCCTGCCTTTCCCACGGCCCAGCACCCCGCAAGGCCCAGCAACCCACTAGGGCACACAACCCCCACGGCCCAGCTCTCCCTCTCCCTCTCCCTCTCCCTCTCCCCCCACTCTCACACGGCGCGCACCTTCCAGTCCGCGGCGTCCATGACCACAACGTCCTCCCGCCCCGCCAGCGCGCACATCGCCTCCTGCTCCGCCGCGCTCGCCACGCGTACCCACGCCGCCAACCCCGCACCGTACACCGCCGCGTCCGCCGCCGCGCTCCCCCCCGCACCGTACACCGCCGCGTCTCTCCGCGTCACCACGCGCAACCCAGTTCTGCCGCGCGGCAACGGGTGGCGACTGGGGGCGAGAGGAGGGGGGAGGAGGGGAAGGACGCGGGGCGGTGTGGGGAGGTGGAACGGGAGGTGGGTTGGAGGTGCCGGGGAGTGACGCTGCGTGACGGAATGACGTTTCAAGTCGACTTAAGAGCGACGCGGCTGCATGGGACGAAGTGGAATTACAGTGCGAGAATGGCACAGCGCACCGCACAGCATGTGAACCCGCCGCATCACATACTCTCAAAGAATTAACGCGTCTCTTTCACTGAGCTCACACTCCCACTCCACCATCTCCTCCCCGTCCTTCCCGCCCTTGCGCTTCCCCTTCTTCCCCGCTCCGCTCTCCCCTTCTTCCGCCGCGCCGTCCACCACCACCGTCCCCCATCCCGCCTCCAGTGCTGCCGTCACCACCTCCTTTGCTTGCGTCATCACCCACACCTCCTTCTCGCTCCCGTCGCCACTAGCTGTAGCGCTCGCCGAGCGAGCGCTTTCGCATCAGTCGCTTTAGCTGTAATCGCCGGTCGCGCGTGCGACGCCATGCGACAAGCCACCGTCTGATCGCTTGATCGTGAACTCTTATCGAAACGAGAAAGTAGCCAAGTGCTCGAGCAACGAGTCTGTCGTGCCGCTAAGTGTGCGTGTGCAAGCGAGAGGTCGTTGACGCAGTAAAGCAGAACGCGTGCAGCGGCGGAGAAGGAAACGACGGAGGAAGTGAAGGGGAAGAGACGGGAAAGCGCTTGTTCTTGAAAAGAACGATGTGGAAGAGCCGTGGGGATCATGGCGGAAGAGATTGTAAGGAATTTGAGAGTGCGAGTGGGGAGCGAAGCAGGATGCGGACCTCGAAATTGCATTGATTGGATTGGAATTTCCCGCGGGAAAACGGAAGTGTGCCCTGGGATTGGGAATGGTGTTTCTTGATCACGGAGCAACGGTATTGTCTGGTGCTTTACGGTGCTGTGGTCAGCTGAATATACCGCTATTTACCACGTTAACACTTACTGAACCGCACTTACAGGCGGGAAAACGAGGGGGACAAACACCAAGGCTTGGGATGTGATGTGAGATTGCCTTGCAAACCGGAAAATAATTTCCGAACCGTGTTCAACCAGAGATTTGACCTTCCTTCCCGCATCCAACATCCTTCCGTGTTCCCCATCCACCAGATCCAACCATTCAGAGAACGACGAATGACTTCGCCGTCGCCACAATGCATTCACGAAAACCTTTCGCGCATTGCAGATTCCAACCACTTCGCAACAGCCGACAGCAGAAGTTACCTATGAGCTCGCCAATTCGCTAAACCATGGCTCGAGCTTCCCCTTCTGGCAGATGATGGGTTTACAGCTAATCCATCCCTTCTCTCTACCGCCGCTGCTGTCAGACCAAACCAGACAGATCTCGACTTCCCTCCCAACTCTTCTGCCAGCCGCCTCCTAAGCACTAGAGCGGCTCAATTTAGCAGCACGCTTCGGAATACGGATCGCGGCGGTTGAATGAGCGGAAGTTTTATAGGCCACGTCACTATACCTTCAAAAGGCATGTGTATACCCGCGTTTTTTTCTGGCTGTTGAAACAGCATACGTGTCCCAAATTGAGGACATCCTGGTTGGATAGTGTTTTCGTTGGCGGTCCAATCAAACGTTCGGGCTCATTTGGCGGTCCAATTAGAGCTGATTTTCATGTTGTCGGCGACTCGTTATGATCCACAATCGTCCACGTAGTCCACGGTGGCATGTTTGGGACCACCTTCGAAGCCAGCAAAGCGGATATTCGATCCGCTCACTGATTCCAACCGCTGACTGATTCCAACCGCATCCCAACGGTCCGAAATTAGACATTCCAGGCATCTTCAGTCTCTCTTCGGATTCCGGCTCGTCTTCTCGTGATTCTCAATTGGTTTCCGTAGCCTTCCTTGCACTTTTTTCTAATCGATCTTGGCTTTCGATCGCGCTACCAGTTTCGACCCTTCACCATCTTCTCACGTCGACGCCATTCAGTCTTGCCGGGATCGTATGGTGGGATCGTGGAGCTTCATTACCTCGACCGTGGGAGTTTTTGCAACGTAGCGAAGCTACGTCGATCTGCGTTATTTCCTCGACCTCGTCGCGACGCTAGCTACGACGTGGCTGCAGCGACATCGATATCTCCGACTTGTTACGGTGAAGGTTGAAAGTATCACCTTTCACCACCACTCACCACAGAGCCTCCTCCCTGGTAAAGGTTTGGTACAGGTTCGGTACAGGTGCGGTAAAGGTTCCCAAGGTGTTTGGTTGGTACTGGCTCTGTGGTGGGGCAGCACGTGTTTCTTTCACGTTTACAGTCTTCATTTCCTTTTGCTTTCTTCACTTCCGTTTACTGACTCCATGTTACTTCTTATACTTGCAGGTGCTATTGGAGGCTGCAAGGCGTACTTCCGAAGCTTCTAGAGGAGCAACGCGGTTTTTGTGGCTCTCCATTCTTCAAGGCGTCCTCGGCCTCGTCGCGACGCCAGCTACGACGTGGCTGAAGTGTCATCGATCGACCGGAGGAGCAGAGGAGCAGCTCCCACGAGTCGTCCTGGTGAAAGTTTAACGTATCACCTTGCACCACCACTCACCACAGAGCCTCCCCCCCGGTTAAGGTTTGGTAAAGGTTCTGTACAGGTTAGGTAAAGGTCCCCGGTTAAGGTTTGGTAAAGGTTACGGTACAGGTTGTATCGGCTCTGTGGTGGGGCAGCACATGTTTCTTCACTTGGCAAAGTCGTTTTCTGCATGTTTTCTTCAATTCCGTACACTAACTACATGTTTTTGTCTACACTCGCAGGTTCTAATGGAGGCTGCGAGGCGTATTTCCGAATGTTTAAGAGGAGCAAAGGCCGTCGGGGCTTTCCATGCTTCATGAAGGCCAACAGAGGAGAAGGTTGTAGTATCACCCACCCTTCATACTTCACAGAGCCCCCCCCTGGTTAAGGTTAGGTACAGGTCAAGGTATGGTACAGGTCGAGGTTGGTAAGGTTCCCCTTGAAGGTTTTTCGGTTGGTATTGGCTCTGTTTTTTCCACGCTTCTTTTCGTTTTACATTCTTTACTGCCCGACCTTTTCTAATTCGTCTTTATTGCCATACCTGCAGGTTCTATCTGGGGGTCTGCTGCGATGACTCCAGAGGAACAACAACGTTTGGCGGCCATCCTTGCTCCGTGGCGTACAACAGAGGAGCAGCTCCAGGGCAGGTGAAGGTTGAACGTATCAGCCACCCACTGCACACTCCTCAGAGCCCCCCCCCTTGGTTCAGGTCAAGGTGATGGTAAAGGTTGAGGTGGGTAAAGGTCCCCCTAAGGTCTTTTTTTTGGTATTGGCTCTGTAGGCAGTGCACACTTGCACCACACTTGCATCACCGCCCGTTTCTGCTTGATTTGTTCACTGCTGTTTACTAATGTAGTTCCCTTGTCCTTGCAGGTTATGGCCCTTGTGCCAAGCTCCAAGGCGAGGTGAACGTACCTGCCAACAGCACCTGGCAGGTGCCTCCTCTCTTTTCACTACCAGTAAGTCTCGTTTGAAGTCACTTGTTGCATGTTGTTTCGTTTTCCTTCATTGACTTTTCCTTTCTAACTCGGATTTTCTGACTTCAATTGGCAGGTTGCTTCAACAACGCGTTTCAGCAAGCACAAGAATCAAGATCCATGGGAGCTGGTCTGCTGAGGCACCTCAAGGCTCAACAACCTTGGAAGATAAGTCACCAATCCCATCTTATTTGCTTTCTGTTGCTGTGTGATTCTGAATCTACTTGATTTACTGACTTGGTTTATGTTTACTTTATGTGGCAGGTTGCTCAACCAGCATGTCATGGAGCTTCAACACCTCCAACTTTTAAACTTCAGATAAGTATCTGCCCTTCACTCTGCACTGACTCAATTCGCTGAATCTTTTTCATTTAGTTGTGTTCATCATTTTGCTTTGACGCATGCTGCATCCTTGGTGTTTTTAAAGAGCCTGGACTAATATTTGTCTCTTGTACCATGCAGGTGGAAGGCAGTGCACGAGAGGGGTTGAAGCCTTGAGCATTGGTTGGGGATTCGATTCCGGGCCAAACCGGACTGGTTCTGTCCCCCTCCTGCCACGCCACATGACAAAGCTGTCTGGCCAGCAGCGATGTCATGTGGTGTGGGCGGGGGTGGGCAGAGCCAGTCCCTAGTAGGGCACCTGCACGTCTTGGTCCTGGCAATGCTCAAGGCCCAACCTTCCTCTCTGCCTGTGCAGTGCACTGCCAGTCCATGCCGGGGTGGGCATGGATGGCATGGCATGCTGCTACTCATGCCAGTCCACTGGCTTGCTTGACAGTCTGTCTGGAAGTAGTCTTCAGAGGACATGTTGAGTAGACATGTGGTTGATAGGAGTAGACACAATCAACTACAGTGGTTGAGTGCACTTTTGAGCAATGCTTCTCTAGAATGTCTAATATGAATTTATACTTCAGCAGTAGTTTTTGGAGGAGATGTATGACGGTGGTGCCTTCGAGGTTTGTGTCTGTAATCCATATTATACACTACTAGTGTCGTGATGCTTTCTTGGCAGACAGTAGCATGTACCTATTGGAAGAAATGAAGAAATGAAAAATGCTGTTTAAGTTCACGGCCCAAATTGCGGATCGCGGAGGGCATGATTAGTAATCTTGATGGTGTGCTGATAGAAAACTTGTGAACAAGCACGGTGCAACTTGGGACTTCAAAAACCAAACTCGAAGCCCCCACCCAGGCCCTCATATTGGTTTGAGGGTATGCTGATGGATCAGCGTGCCCCGGCCAATGAGGTGTCCAAATCAGCGTTCACTGTTTTTTTTATACTGATTTTGCCAGTGTAAAAATCATAAGTAAACTGAACCAACAGTGTAAAAAAAAAAAACTATAGCTGAAACCCCAGTACACCCTAATGCTCACTCAACCGCCCACTCTGAACACGCCCACTGCCACTCCATACGCCCAGTGGTCGACATTCACAGCCAACGGCCCGCGCGTTACTAGCCCACGACAAAACCAAGATGTTCGAGTTTCCCAGACAAAACACGCTGGGCTACCCACAATTTCCGCAACTGTAGTTTTTTTGTCAACCTTTGTTCTACATTCAGTCCCATTCTGCCCCTAGTGAACGCATGCTCGAGAGAGGAGCATAGGGAAAGATGGGGAAGGGGACTGAAATGGGCATCATGTGTACAAGGTGTGTGGTATTGTTGCTGTGATAGGTTCCAGCGGCGCGCACCTGATATCTGTGCAGTGCATGCGAAAAAATGCCAAGCGTGTGGGTGGGGTCTCAGGAATCACGGGAAGGTACAGATAGGACGCGCGTACCCTATCATCCCCCCTTCCCCCCCCCCCCCCCCCCCCCCCCCCCACACACGCGCGGTCAACTCCGTTTCAGTGTGACTCACGTCACTATACTGATTCGTCAGTGTTACTTG